GGGGGGGGGGGGGGGGTAGCGATGTTTGCAACGTACGTGGGCGAAGGGAGACGTTCGCAGGGACATGACCAACCGTGGCAATGAGGTCAGTGCTACATGTAGGGAGACAAGCCAGTACTCATCATCTATAATCCCGCGCCCGATGAGCACATGCCTCAAACACCTCACGCTGCAAAGTGCTCTAAACACCGACGAATACCGCGCTTGTTCCCGTCGGCGTTGGCAACAAACTCCCCTGTGCCAAACAAAACATTTACAGATGGCCAAGTGCCTCCTCCACTGCATGCAACAGTAATGATGCTACTGCTGCAAAAACAGAGCCGCTGAATGAAACAAACCCATTACCAACATGGAGACGCTTCAAAGCGAAGTTTCTCGTTGTTTTTCTTGTACTTTCTTTTCTGGTACAAGGGTATAAGATTCCATCGTCCTCCGCGACACAACCCCACGCAGAGCAAATACCCTCTCTGATTGTACCCAACAAATGACGCGGCAGTCCAACATCCACCACCACCGCCACCACCTAACCACAGCAAGTAACAACAAAACTTGCTTTGGGCCTTGGAGAAGAATCATTGCCAAGTTAGCATTGACAATCCTTGCACAAGGACATGCAAAGCTTCGCGGTGAACTCGATCGCGCATCCCAGCATCATGAATAGCCCGATGTACCCAAACGCCCCCTTGCGCCTGCTATCCGGGCCTCAACTCTACAGCATTACGAGTAAGGAGGGGGGAGTGGGGGGGGGCGGGTGTCAAAGGACAACAAGCAGCTGAAAGGAGTTCAGGTTCTCTCTCGACAAGCACAGAACTGGATTGTGGGAGAAGGGGGGATATCAGGGCAGGGTTTTCTTCGCGAAAAAATTACTAATAGACAGGCGGGCGCAAGAAGGTATGTGATACATATGTAACGCTTTGGTGTCTTGCAATATCTATCGTCGTTACTTTTCCGGCTTAAGTTCTCTTGGGAGAAGAGCGCTCTCTTGCGAGCACGGACGGGAAACAACACGAACGCCATCAATGCTGACGGAGACACCCGAAAAAGAAAAAAGGCAACTACGCGGCTCACAAATAAAACGCAGAGCACGTAGCGTTTTCTGCTTACCGGTGACAGCTTCTCGTCCACAGCAGTTCTGCGAAAACAAATCCCACAAGACAGAGCAATGTCAAAACTCGAGCCCCGTTCCCCGCGCGCGTCACGACAGCGCAACGCATCCAAACGAGACTACACGCGCGCTGCGCACCCAGCAACAAAACAACAATCGCACCCGGTAAGTGATGACGTAGACGACGAAACCGGCCACACGTATCGCTCCAGCGGCTGCGGCGAACTTGGGACGGTTGATGGCCGCCAGCCCGAGGAGGAGCAGGAACCGCGGGTAGTTCTCGAGAACGTTCTGCGGAGCAAATCGGTCGGCAAGAGCCGCGGAGGTGCGGTGGCCACGAACGGTGAGTGCACGATGGCTGTGAGAGAATCGTGTAGTGGGTTTGGGAGAGAACAAGGGGAGAAGACTGGGAACGAACGTGTTTTAACACACGCACGGACGTGTCAGGCGTGCTGCATGTCGTAATTACACGCCGCGATTCCAAGATTCGTGGCTTGCCTACGAAAAAACCTAAGCATTTCCCCGGGAGGTGGTAACACGTTCCTATCCCGATCTTCTAATAATTGTAGCAGCAACATAGCGCTCGAGGAATTCGATCAACCAATCAACCGCGAAGTTGGTCGGGGAGGGCTAGGGTGTCGAACGACGCTGAAACCGCGGAGCCCTCCATGGCTCCGCACCACGCGTGTTTATCGCTACGGTCGATCGTGACGAAAGGAATCGAAACCAAACGCTAAGAGCAATACCACTTGTGACAAACCAAGACTGAGTGTCTGTGTCAATCTCGAGGGAACGAAGGAATATCTGCTGTTGGCGAAGCTCGTTAAGTTCGGATCTTGCATATCTGGTCCATTTAGTACACCCCCATTTAGTCCGCCCACAAAGGAGCTCACGCCACAAAGTGATTGAACCCTGGCCGGTGGTATTGAGGCGAAAGAACCGTAGCCGCGATGTGACATTTGCCATCCCGCTGCGCCCACGGGGTGATCACATTCATCACTTGCTATGGTCTTCAAGTTAATCGAATGAACGCATTGCAGCTCGGTTATTTCTTTCGCGCTCTTCGCCCGGCAGACTGTTTTTTCGCGGTCTCTCAGTCACTCCCCGCCTTCTTTCCTGTCATTTTCCTAACGCGGACTCCGATTCTCTCGAAAACTCGCCGCGCCGCACATTCTCTTTCCATTTCTCTTCCTCTTGCTGTCTCTGTCTGTGTGTGTCTCTCTCCCCCGCTCTAAGTGCATACCATCTACGACTCTCTTCACACGCACACACACGCTCAGCAGTTCAGCAGTGAGTTCTGCTTTATAGGAATCGCTCGGTTTGGGCAGTGACGAAAAGCGCCGAAGCCTGGTACTAGTCTAGTCTTGACAGCAGCTCACCTGGTGAGCCCTCTGTTAGCAGTTGAAAACGGCAGCGTTGGGGATAGGTTGCTCGGCGTACATCTGAGGGTACTTGATCCCGTGCCTTTCGAGAAAATCGCGGGCAAGCGCGAGGTACGAGGCGAGGGTGGCAAGAGGCGCGTAGCGTTGAGTGATGGGAAAGGACGCAAGTGTTAGATCGTGTGCACCGACGTGCAAGTGATGTAGCCCAGCTTCCACCTCGACAAACCCTGCGTGCATTTACCACATCGGTCTTTTCATATAGATCACCTTTGATTATGATCACTGAAAGGCTACTGTAGTACAACGTAAGCACGCATTGTGCATCTACTGTAGGACGCGTTCTTCTAAAACCACAGCAGCCGGAGATCCCTTTTACAAAGAATCCGTAACCTCACAGAAAGACCACCCGTTCGACATTTTTCCATGAGCTGGATGGAGTGCTCGACAACTCTTGAGTACATATCCACCGGACACGACGCCGTTCGTCTCCGATTCTTCTGCGTGTGTAGATATACCTTTCTCTCCTGCCCCTGTCCCATCGCTCGATGCATGAAAGCTGCGAACGCCCATCGGAGGTCATCATGCTATGCTGCACGTAGACTACATGTGATGATGCGGCGAAATCAAGTCCCTGCCTAAACCGCGATACATTTCCCGCCAAATTTGAGCCCCCGCCCAACACAATGTTGAACTGCTGTCAGTTCAGGCGATCGCTGGCCGACTGCTGTATGGCCCTTTTGAATATTTTCGAGTCGCCCATGGCACCCTACTATGCAACGTTGTCAAATGCAGAAACCACGCCTCTTTTATCCCTTACTGTTGGCAACTAAACAGAGAAGATACAACCGCGGTACGTGTATGATGACTACGTTCTCAAGGACTCACTTAATCCTGGCCTTGGCCACGCCAAATCCAGCCCACGTGTTCATAAAAACGCTGCAGATGGCTACTGCCATGGGTAGGCCATGGGCGGGTGTGAGCTCGATGGTCACCCTGATCTCTGCCGTTGGAAAGGAAGAGAGCAGAGAGGAGATTGGAAGATGTCCGTGCATGCATGTGAATCATGTTGCATGAATCGGAGCGGGGTTCTCTAGACGAGAACATCTTCACACCGACCCCACCTAGCGGCCGTTGGAAATATGATATTGGAAATTGCGCGAACGTCGCTTGAGCAGTGAGAGCTTCGACTCATCATTGCTCGTTCGGCAGGGCTGTGTGTGTCGACGAGCTCTCATGGGCCTCACTTGCAGCAAGAGCGCTTTCGTCGACGCTACTATCCCCGTCCGCGCCGGCGGCAATCTCAAGAAGAGCAAGGGCGAATATCGGAGTGTAAGGTAAAAGCGAAAAAAGCAACTTGGCCGGCAGCTGTTGAGGAAAAGATGTTCCTGTTGGATTCCACACCTCCAGCAGTTCACAGGGGCACCGGGGCACGCGTTGTCCTCTCGCTCGCCCAGTACGTACCTGTCGCACGTCCCAAGCATACTGTTCTTTGTCTCAGCCGCCTGATGTGGGTGCTGTCGCCTCTAGACGCAGACTTGGGGCGAGTTTGGCGCTGCGACAGAGAATGGAGCGTTGACAGACCGCAGTAGCATAGCGGATAGTGTTCTATGTTATCTCCCGCCAAAAACGTGACAGACCCTGGCCTGCAAAGACCTACCCAGACAGCTCTTAAGTATCCTGGTAGTGGAAACTCCTATCACTGCTGACTGCTCTGTAGACAGCCGTACGGGTCACACTGTGGAGTTCGGATGTAAACGCCCACACCTAGAGGTGAGAGAGACCGCCGGGCCGCGAAACCAGTGGTACGCCAATCCTCAACGGCGGTTCTCTCTCTCCTCTCCACAGCAGTATGTCCCGCTTTATATCTCGTTGGGCGCCCCCTCCAGCTGATGAATCAATACCGGAGAGAACCGCCGTAGTGACATAAGGTGTAAAACCAGCGGTATATTTTTGATTTGCCCAACAGCGTGCTGCTGCTGTTTTCGAGCAGGACGTTGAGAGCGAGAGTACTCGACCGTAGATTGATGCTGCAGTTTATCACCCCCCACCCCTAGCCTATATCCTACTGAGTAGGCCGCAAATCCGGCTGCCAGTTTCTCCAATGAGATACCTGCTAACGTCGTGAAGGTGACTCCGACTGGTCTTGGAAACAGTTCTGAACCTAATGTGTATATGCACATCAGGACCTTCCGTATTTTCAGGAGATTGGGCAGCGAAACTCTTCTCAAGCAAGCGGGTCGGGTGGTGTATACTACGGCGTTTGCAGGCCGTAGCCCGCAAGAACAAAAAACCTGCAAGGCCGACGAAAATCAGTTTTGGACCACAAACAGGCCGCAAGGGGTATATGGATGGTGTTCCATTGGGAGGTCTGTGGTGCAACGTCGTGCTCGGGAGATAGATTAAGGTTGTTTAGCTTACGTGGAAAACCGAGTCAAATTGGGGTCTGCAGGAGTTGGGAACACTGAAGGTGTACGTAATACATAGGCCCCGTGCAAGTGCTTAGCTTGGGTTCCTGGATGGAGGTTCGAAACGGCATTGTTACAAAAGCGGCGATAGAACCGCGGTCTGCGCGGTTTTCGGAAAGAATAATCAATCACGTGGTTTGTTTCGTTCAATATCGACTCTTTCAGCACCGCCGCACCTCGTGAACCTATTTACCGTAGTGCTGCTGTCGAAGCGCTTGTTCGGTGAGTTTGGTATGTACTTGGTGACATGAGCACTTTGCGCGTTAGAAAACGAAGAGATCCACCACAAAAGGATGTCATCCACCTACCCCCCGGATCCGAAATCTTCGGTCGAGAAGACAACAACGTACAAGTGGGATGGCCAGAGAAGAAAGAAACGGCCTTAGAAAACACATGATTTTCGAAGCGAACGTTGCACCTAGCCCTCCTTGGCTACCGCTCAATCATTTCGCCCGTTTGTCGTTACTCTTAATACATAACAAGAGAGATTAACGTGACGGTGAGAAACCCCGGAAAAAAATTTCTTCCATTACAGAACAACGCCAACATTATCATCTACCACCACCACACCAATTTCTGTGTATGTCTTCATCCCCTCTTCACCGACCAAACAGCACGCCACTCCGCCCACCCCGAGTTCCACCACGGAGCAAGAAGCCACGATTGTCCTTTCCGTTGGGCAGCAGCAGCAGCAGCGGGCACACCACAAGGCTAAACAGCGCCGGCCTACATAATCACAGCGTCAGAGCGGGCGTCGAGAATGATACCGCTTCGGGCACCCTGGACGTGGCGTCCGTGCGGGATCAGGGCATCGTGGTGCTAGTGAGAATCAGGCCGGTGTCTCGGTCGGAGCAAGGGCAGCGATGCTTCCTCCAAGTTCAGGGGCCGACACAGGTACGTTCGCGCTTTCTCGATGATACACCCGGAGAGAGTTATAATACTGTAAGAGTCCGGAGAGAGACCACAGGATTTCGAAGACCCACATACACGCTCGTTTTGTAGATCCTATCCCCATGTATGCTCGGGATGAATTTCTGATAAGACAAGTATTTAAGGTCTACTCTTGGAGCGATTCGCAGCCACCCGAGGGATTGAAGAGCCCGTTGGCTGGGAGGTCGCTCCGGGCGGGGGGGGCGCGCACGCCCCTCGGCAAGTTACACAGCATCATACGTACCCCTTTCTACATCGCTCGCGTTCTCGTGGGGAACATGGCAAAACTACGGCAAGAGAGCGTGGAATCCGTGCTACCCACAACACACGTGGATACGCGCGCGCGAGAGGATTGTCTTGACTCTCAAAAACACGGGAATACACGTCTTGACGTGGTTCTGCAGGTTCCCGTGCATCACACACTCCCCTCTCCACTCTCTCTCTCCTGTGTGCACTTTCAACCCCACCATCCTCCGCTCTCTAACCCGCCCCTTTTGCCCTTTCCTAAACCGATACACGATGGATATCCAACAAGCAGCTGCACGTCCCGGCCAGCAAGACCACCGCGTCGGAAAAGACCTGTACCTTCGACGCCGTCCTGCCGCACACGACCACCCAGGAAGAGGTAAGGGGTGAGGTGTTCGTACAAACGCGTACCGTAGTCGGTGTGGACCATGGACCTCGCATCAATACACTGACGAAAAGGGAAGGGATCGACGGGTACAAACACGCGCGTGCAGGCCGAACTGGCGCAAACCTCCCGAATTCTAGCTGGCACGGGTACGTATACCCGGGAATTGATATGCCATCAAAACCTGTTCTTTGGTGGCTGCTTGGTACCTGCTGCCACTGGTTCATGCCGGAATATCTAGGCGAGGCAGTGGTCTCCCTGTCAAATCTTAAGTGGCTCCTTCCTCAAGTGAATATATTTGACGTGCCAACGTCTCTGGGACAACCATTCTAAATCTAGAAGCTTGATGTCGGGATGGGGGTCGACGTGATGTGCCCTCTCCAAGCATACCTCCTGACTCTAGCGGAAGCATGGAACAACGCGCGATGTTGTTGTTCCACAATACGATTGCAATCTCACGAGGTCCTTTGGTATTTATAGGTACTGACCAACATCCATCGTTGAGTTTTTTGGATACCTCTCGCTCTGTGTACACTTCACGTTTGAGTCTTTTGAGTGCGCCCGAAAAATAGCGGCGGCGTCGGAACCGTCTCGTCAAGAGCTTTCCCAAATAGTATTGTAACACATCTTCGTCGTCGTAGAGCTGTGAAAATCGATCCAGAGCGTGAGAAATCTTACGATGCCACCTACGGTACCCCATGTCCGGGAGAGGGATGCTTTGACGCGCCGGTCGGGGCTAACCTGGAGAAATTCTCCGCCTTCCCTCTCCTCCAGTTGTTCAATCTTGGCGCGGGGTTCCCTTGACCGGTCTCTGCGTTTGCTGTTTTCTTGTCCTCCTTGTTCTCCGTGTGTCTCGCAGGTGTATCAGGTGGCCGGGCCGAAGCTGATCCAGAACCTTCTCCAGGGTTTCAATGCTACCATGATAGCGTACGGCCAGACGGGGTCTGGGAAGACGTTCACGATGGAGGGGTCTGGCCAGGTGCGGAGAACTGATGCTGTAGGGAGTTTTGGTAGTTTGAAACGGCTAAACACGGTGAAACGAAACAAGCACGGGTGTGGGAAGTCAAAGGCCGACGACGCTTGGCTTTTGGAGTAAGCCGCAACGTGTGAACGTCTTAATGGTTCATTTTTATGTGGCCAAAGAAACGCCTTGGTTTGCGTTGGTTTTGAGGGTTCCGACCGCTGTACCGAGGCAGTTGTGTAGGAAAATGATCAGTACGTGTTGTTTGCCTTGTTACCTCGCATAACCGGTCCTAACCGTAAATCGATGGCGTGGTGCTCTTTTTTTTTTGAGAGAGAGAAAGAACGCGTACGGGACAGGACGCGTCTCCTGAGTGTTCGGGGTATTTGGCGTTACACTTGTCATTTTTTTTGTGTCTCTTTTGCACCGTGATCCCGTTTCTCGTCTCGTCCGGTGTTGTCTCTTCTGCTGCTCTTGCTCAAAATACGGTTGCTCCTTTATCGTGCGGGAAAAACAAGCGAAAGTAGTGCCGTGTTTGTGACCTTCGTTGCTGCTTGTTCAACGGTACTGTTTGCTCTCCCCAGGAGCCCGGCGTGATCCCTCGACTGTGCAAAGGGCTATTCGAAGTGATAAGTGCACTGGGCACCGAGAAGGACGTGACGGTAGTGGCCTCGTACGTCGAGGTATGGACGGTGGGGAGGACTATCGTAGGGGCGAAACCGGGAGATGCGGGTCGTCCCATTTTCCGGTCTCTGACGCTCGTGGTTATTACCACGGGTATTTGCGGGAATGTATACTGCCCTATTTTCTTCAAATTCATGCGAGGGACGAAACGTCTTTGCCTGAAGAGGTGTTCGTCACCACATGAGCGCATGAGCGCTCGGATGACGTAGGTGTTGGTCTGAGAAGACAAGCAGCGTGTTGGACGCGCTATTGCAAGATTACAACCGATTCTGCCATCGAAACACATCCACCCAGCTACGGAACCCCCCCCCCCCCCCCCCCCCCCCCCCCCCCCCCCCCCCCCCCCCCCCCCCCCCCCCCCCCCCCCCCCC